GGGCACCAAATTTTAAGGGGCGCGGCAGGGGCCCTTTGAGATTCGATCCCGGGCCCCCTCTCATTGGAGATGACATGACACTTTACATGTTTAGGTACATTGGCTGCAGTAAGGTCCCGCTCTTGCTGGAGATCTTACGGCAGCCTTCTGGGAACCACAGTGGCGCCTGTATACAGCGCCGGCCCGCACAGTGGACAGCTCCTCCACCAGCCCGCACAGTAAATGGCTCATCCACCGGCCCACACATCACCCTCACTGATCCTCTGCATCTGCCCCTGCTGCGATCCTCCACATCTGCCCCTGCTGCAATCCTCCATATCTCCCCTGCTGCGATCCTCCACATCTGCCCCTGCTGTGATCCTCCACATCTCCCTTGCTGCGATCTGCACCTGCTGCGATCCTCCACATCTGCCCCTGCTGCGATCCTCCACATCTGCCCCTGCTGCGATCCTCCACATCTGGCCCTGCTGCGATCCTCCACATCTGCCCCTGCTGCGATCCTCCACATCTGCCCCTGCTGCGATCCTCCACATCTGCTCCTGCTGCAATCCTCCATATCTCCCCTGCTGCGATCCTCCACATCTGCCCCTGCTGTGATCCTCCACATCTCCCTTGCTGCGATCTGCACCTGCTGCGATCTTCCACATCTGCTCCTCCTGCAATCTGCCCCTGCTGCAGTCCTCCATATCTCCCCTGCTGTGATCCTCCACATTTGCCCCTGCTGTGATCCTCCACATCTGCCCCTGCTGCAATCTGCCCCTACTGCAATCCTCCACATCTCCCCTGCTGCAATTTGCCCCTGATGCGATCCTGCACATCTGCCCTTGCTGCAATCCTCCACATCTCCCCTGTTGCAATCTGCCACATCTGCCCCTACTGCAATCCTCCACATCTCCCCTGCTGCAATTTGCCCCTGATGCTATCTGCCCCTGCTGCGATCCTGCACATCTGCCCTTGCTGCAATCCTCCACATCTCCCCTGCTGCAATCTGCCACATCTGTCTCTGCTGTGACCTGCTACGATCCTCCACATCTGCCCCTGCTGCAGTCTGCCACATCTGCCCCTGCTGAGACCCTCCGCCCATAACATCAGGCCAGTATTAAAGCTTTTGTCTGGTGCTCTTCCCATTTTTTGCTTATATGCATTTCCTCCCACACTACAAAACCATTTGTAGGCTAAATGGCTCAGGTTGTGGGACATCCTTCCAGAATCTGCTACTTCACTGTAATTTTTCCATGTATTCTTTGCATCTTTCTTTGCTGTTAAAAAAACTTTTACTTTTTTTTCCCATTGTTAAATGTTGGTTTTGTTTCTAGTTTCTTGTATATTTTCTTCACTTCATGATCTGACAGTTTTATAAAGTCTGTGTGTCACTGTTCATTTTGACATTGGGATACTATTGGTGATTTTTCTTTTAATGCTTTTTGTATGTGTTTTTTTTTTTTAGAATAAATATTTGCAAAAAGTAATCCATTCCTGTTTATGTGGTCACTTCCGTAATTTAATATACTGTCCACCTTGTCACTGCCAATCTGAGTGTATGAATCACCCATTACAATTACCTGTCTGCTCTTTGCATCATTAAGGGTTTTCTAGGTTTCTTCTATAAAATCATGTTTCTAGAACCTTTTCTTTGATGAAAAAACAGGTATCTGCATCATGGCTACAGTGTTCTTCTCAAGTCGCATTATCACTCCAATTACAAGGTGAAGATTTACAACCACTTTTTGCACATGTAGTTCTAGTTCCACATCTGTCAGGCCACAGCTTTCCCTCATTTGTATGTTATTTAGTAAGTTCTTCATTTCTTTTAGAACGGCAAAGGATTTCTTAATTTTCTTTTTCTTTTTTTGACAGTCCTATCATGTAATTGTTTAGTCTGTTAATCTCTTCACAAATGTATTTTATTTGCGCACTTCCATGATTATTTTGATATTCCATGTTGCTATTTTAAAGTGACACTAAACTAAGGAGTTAAATCTTAAAAATGCATTCAAGTACCCTATTAACCAAAATGTATCTTATTTGTGTATTACTCGTCTGTAGATCCTCAAATCATCTCTGAATTCATGCTGACAATGTCCTTCCTTCTGCAGGGTGGCTACTTTTGTTCCCCATGGTCCCTGTGTATGTTCTGTAAAGTAGCCACCGCTCCAAACCATCTCCCATGGACTACAATCTCAATACAAATGAGTAAACTAAACATGAGATTGTAGTCCGTCTTGGGAGCAACCTTTAGATTCTTGTGACAGGAATTCTTGATGTATCTGCACAGATGTGGCCGCTGTACCCATTACCCCACCCCCACAGGGTGACAGTGGGCGCATCTGTAAGTGGCAGTCCTCATGTAATCGTACATGGGGCGCAGAGAGCTTGCATCTGGGGACAAACATCTCTACTGATCTGCAAGTAATTGTACCATGTATGATTACCTGCATCCACAGGTTCTTGCTGCAGGAATCTCCAGATCGCCATATGCATGAGGCCTAAAGCAGCATCTTCCCACAAAAACAAATAATGGAAAAATGCTAAATGTATCCTAGCCTGTCTGGTGCTTACAATGCAGCCTTGTCCCTCTTTACTGGTAAGTGCTGCTCTACAAAACATACACCTTTTACTTACAAGGCTGCTACCATCACGTTCTCAAACAATTCATCCCCACACAACTCCCCCCTCATGTATCACTTGCCTCTCCCTTTTAGATTGTAAGCCACGAGGGGCAGGGCCCTCCTTACCATCTTGTCTTGATTTGTATTGTGGTTGTAATGTCTTATTTATATTGTAAAGCGCTGCCCAAACTGTCGGCGCTATATAAATCCTGCATAATAATAATAATAATAATACCACATGCGTCTCTTTATCTCTGCGGTCACTCGGTTTCTTCATACAGGCTAACCACACTACTACTATAATTAGGTCTTATAAGGCCTGAATCTCAGAAAAACCCATCAGTGCACGTGACACCCTTATATACAGCCACACTTACTTTTCCAATGCCTCTCTAACAGTAGTGATTTTAACCAGTCTTGATTTTAAATCCCAATATTTGTTTTTCAGTTAAACTGGAGTTATTTTTTTTTTCTTGCAAGGATATAATTAAAGTATGTTTATAGAACACTTTCTATAAAGATTATTTTCATAAGTTTTAAAGCTAAACTCCAGGTATGCATTATTTTGCATACTTACATGCATGGTTTCAGTAAACTTCAGTAATGTGTGCAAACAAAAAAAAAGAGTATCTGGCAGTGAAAAGGGTAAAAGGCACATCAAATTTTGATTTAGGTTTTTTCATTGTTTGTGCATTTTTTTCATGAGTGCCGAAAACTTCTGGCACAGCACTGCATTTTTAATTAGTGAGTTATGATGGTTCATTAGTTTTATCCTCCTAGATGGTTATTTCAGTATTTTCTCTTCTGGAATAGAAAACTACAGGGCATTGTGTGGTATTTTTGCTTTTGTAGACCAGTGACAGCAGTTCTATAAGTGTTATCCAGTAACCATGCTCTATACCAGGGGTGCCAAACTCCATGTCATTGCGGGCTGCATCAGCATTATGGTTGCCCTTAAAGGGCCGGTTGTATCTGTAAGACTATATGAATTTATCTACTCTTTATCATATTAAATAATTGCCTCTGCATTCGATTATTACTGGTTTTAGTTAATTTAGTTAATAACTAGCTCTGAAAGTAGAAGTCTAGGAAAAATAATGGCAATTTGCGTAATAGTGCGGACTCTCAGGTGACCTGTGCAGGATCTATGTTGGGCTGTGTGGGATCTATGCTGGGCTGTGCAGGGTCTTAGGAGGGCTGTGCAGGCTCACCAGGGGTCCCGGTGGGTCTCGGCAGGTGCGGGTGGTGTGGACAAAGAGGAGGTTTGCTGTAAACAGGCACAGCGCTTCACAGACAGGCTGCCAGAACCTCGCTGGGTGCATCAGCAGCCTTCATGTGAAGCTCGCCACCTATGTACAGCGCCAGCTTAGTTTTAAAAATGTTTAAGTTTTAAAGCTGCAGGAGAGGTGCAAGGACCACATAAAATGGCCTGGCGGACCAGATTCAGCCCGTGGGCCTTGTGTTTGACACATGTGCTCTATACCAGGGCTCAAAATTTCCAATCGCCTGCTCGCATTTGGCGAGTGGAAATGCAGTGCAGGCGAGTGGAAATTCCTGTCAGGCTTGCGGTCTCAGACCGCGTACCTGACTCGTGGGAGCAGCTGCTCCTGCTGGTCTGTCTCCCTTCCTTTTGGCCTGAGCTCTTCACTGAGCTCCGGGTCGAAAACAAAGTGATTAGTAAGGTCTGCAGACCTTACTAATCACACTAGATCACCAGGGATCTGCCTGCTCGCCTCCTCCCTGCAGAAAGACGAGCAGGTGAGGGGGCTCATTGTATCATTTTACATTGTGGGGGCAGGGAATTATGTGTGGGCGGGCAGGGAATCGGGGGGGATTATGTTATGTGTGGGGGGCAGGGAACAGGGGGGTGTATTATTTTATATGTGGGGGGGCATGGAATAGAGGGGGTGTATTATTTTATATGTGGGGGCAGGGAGCTTTATGGCAATATTGTTAAAGTTGTTAATATTTATTCTTGTAACTTTATTCTGCATTAAACATGTAACAGTCTCATTGATAAGATTATTTAAGAGGGTGTGTGTAGGGGCAGAGTTAAGGCCGCGGAAGGGTAGGGGTTAGGTGGGCAACTGGTGGCGAGTAACTCTTAAGGCCAGGTTAGTATCTCAGGACTTAAAATTTTGTCCCCTGATCTATACTATTGTCTACATTTGCACAGTCATTCCAATGATCTATGTAATTATATCTGTAGCAGATGCGTAATATGCCATTGGCTTGAGGAAGGGTGGAAGTTCTTGGCTTATGACCAGCTTTACATGTTTTGGAAAGCTCATCTTAAAATCCATACATGCAGCACATACAGTAATGGTTTCTCACTTGCTTTTTAACTTTTTTGTTTAGGCTTTATTTTGCTTTGTTGTTTTCTTTCTGCAGATCTTCCACATGACCTATGACCTGGCCAGCGCAGTGATGAGAATTTTTAACCTGATTGCCATGATGCTACTGCTTTGTCACTGGGATGGATGTCTTCAGTTCCTGGTTCCAATGCTCCAAGACTTCCCCAGTAATTGTTGGGTTTCCATCAACAAGATGGTGGTACGTAGTCATCACAGCTTTAAACCAGTCATCCAATGTTTTTTTTTTGCTCTTGATTACGCATAGCAGTGTTAATATATGTACTATATATAAATGTAGGCAACGCTTCCCCAGAGTGTAAATACATATTATTGGGCCATGCTCCAAAATGTTGCCATACCGCTTGGCAATCACTTGAGCCTGTTTTGGACAGCCAGAGGCTGCAGCCTAGCTGTGTGTTGGAGGTTTGCATAACAGTACCCTTATCTTGCAACATCACCCAAAATAGCACCTTCAAAAAGTTCTGATTGAATCTTGCTACAATGGCAAGCAGTGAAACTTTAACTGTGACGTAATGTGAAGATAAATGAGTCATAAAGCTAAAATACCTTCCATACTAATTCCAGGGCATTACAGCTTCTGCTCAGCCTCACACTAAAGCTGGCCATATACCTATAGATTATCTGCAAATTTTCTGTGGTCAGATGGAAAAAGTGCAACAGATTCCTCCATCTACACTAAACTGTGTGGATGAAGGAATCTCCAGCTGGGCCAAGCTTCAGTAGCTTGCTAGTAGGCCCCGCTGGCTCTCAAAACACCTTAAAGGAGAACTATGGGGTCAGTGTTTTTCCCCATAGTTCTCCTTGGGGTAACGGGAGGACACAAACTAGCGTCCTCCCGTCACCCTAAGCTCAGTATACCGCGAGCTACAGCTCGCGGTATACTGAGACGCCGCACCTGGAGCGGATCCCGACTTAGATGACGGGATCCGCCCAGCTGCGTGAGTGACAGCTGGCTCTGCCTATCTAGAGGCAGAGCCAGCTGTACCCGCCCCCTCCCCCGTCCGTTCCGCCAGTCAGCGCTGGCAGATCGGAGCGGGGAGAGGGGAATCCAGCCCCTCCCCCTGTCACGGCAGAGAGCCGTGACAGGATCGAGAGGTGAGGGAACCCGGTATGTTTTCCCTCACCTCCCGATCTACTGAGCCGACCTGTGACAGTCTCATTGTCACAGGTCGGCTTAGAACTATGACATGAGTGGAAATCACTCATGTCATAGTTCTCCTTTAACAATGCCTGCCGATTGGATGGATCTGATGGGATGGAGGCATTGTTCAGGTGTTTCAACAGCCAGCGGGGCCGACTAGCAAGACAGCCAGCTTTACAGAATCGATTGTCTTGGAACTAGTATTCAGCTTGTAGGTCATACAATGGCACATTTTATCAGACAGGTATTTAATTTTATTCCCTATGTAACTCGAGTTAGAGTTTAAACAGGAAAAGAGCTGTATGTTTTTAGTTTACTGATGAAAGTAACGGTTAGCCTTTGGACAGGTTTACTTAATGTGTCATGGTGATCTTAAAATTAATGGTTCTAGGTTAATGCTAATATTGTGGCGATCAGAACTTGAAGGGGATGCTGGCTGTCCTTACATGACCAAGTGATGTTTGGAATGGTGACATTCTGTGCAGTAATCGTGTAGAGATAAACCATCAAGCAGTTATGTGTTAAGCCCTGCATATTCATTGGTAACCTTTTATGTGTGCACACTGATATCTTTTGCTTCAGTCTTTGATCCCTATTTTCTTTCTACAAGCTGAGAGAATCTGCACCACAATGCAGGTCTCCTTTTTTTTTTTTGTATTTTTGTCCACATAAATGTGAACATTACATTTTCTTTCCTGTACATTCACCATTTTCATTCTGCTGGTTTCAATCCTTTGCACTGTAGTTAATGGGAAGAAGGTGAAAAAGCCATGATCGCTTTTCATTCTGTTTTTAATGAATCTTTTCTAGCTTTGTAGAAAGGCCAGTAAAAACAACTGGAGAAAGAAGGATTAAAGGCAGACTGAAGACCGAATAAAGCCATAAGCATTGTTTACTTGAAGAAATCTGAGCAAATACAAATTACAGAGAAATATCCTGCTTTCTGTTTCCTGCGTCTGAATACAACATCTGTGTATGCCTCTTCCCTTGTTTTACGTCAGTCTTTGATCCATTTTAAAGTGGAACTTTGTATAGATTAGGGAAGGTTTAGAGCTTAGCTTTTTATTGCTGTCTGTGACCCCATTTCTGAGATTGTCTTCACTTTCCTTTAGGCTGCTGGGACCTAATGTGGGGTTCTATTTCTGCCACAGTAACACAGGCAGGAATAAAACATTTTGGGAAGGGGGAAGAAGTATTAAAACATCTGTCAAGTTCTTATTACTGTCTTTGTCCCCATTAGGAAAATTTCCCCACACTGGCTGTCCATGAGGTAATGAGGGGATCCAGACAGTAATGAAAAGCCTTCCCTATTCTGTCTACAGCAAGAGTTCTACTTTAGCATTTTTATAGCATTTCTTTCCTTTGAATTTTCTTTTCATGTGTCATAATACAACATGTTTCAGTTTCATCCTTTTTGGACTGTCTTTTTTTACATTGTTATAATTGGGAAGCAGATAACAAATGTAGTTTGTATTAAATGTTTTGTTTTTCAGTCTTTATTCGGGTTTCAAATAGTCTTCTTTAGTCACCATCACCATTGAAATGAAGTATAAAAGAGACGCTGTCATCTTACCAATGCATGGCAAAGTGTCAGTGTCTCTGGAAAGGGCATCCCCAACCCCATATGTTTACTTTGCCTGCACTTCTTCATAGTTCCTTGATCCTTCGCTGCCAGCGACACAACCTGGTTCTTCTGGGTATGGAGGAGCAAGTGACCTGCTTTCCTTGGACAGTGCCCAGTTCTAGCAACCAATTGCTAGAACTGTCCACTGCAGAGCGGAAGGAAATGCAAGAGTTGGTGCTGGGAGTATGTACATGGGGTTTCGGGATATGCCCTTTCCAGTACACTCCTCCTTTGTCCTGTATGGGCAAGGTGACTGTGTCTCTTTTAAGATTGGTTAAAGAAGGATGAAAATTATCATTTCCTTATTTCTTATCCCTGCTTTTTATGTTTATAGGACAACTATTTGTGTGCATATCCTCTCACATGAGAACTTCTTTGTCATGAGTTTATTTTCCTAGTTCTGGTGTTTGCAGATGACATTTCAGTTTAGTGAGTGATCCCTGGTCATAGCTGGCTTCTGCCGAGTATGTTAACAAAGATGCACACATTGGTGTTATTTTCAGTGGTGGCTGTGTGAAAAGATAGGGTTAAGACCTTGAAGCTGCCATTGTTACTAAGCTTGGCACAGAAGTCCGGTGCCAGTCAGCTGCAAACTGGCACATGAGAACTCACGGAGGGGCAGAATAGAGGGATCAGTGACTTGGTGTGTGTGTCAGCTGAAATCGCATGGCTCAGCACAGGAATAATAATAGATTTTTCTCTCTTCTTCTCTACCTCTCTTCACATCACCTCATTGTTGCGCCCTTCTAATTTCTTTACATGCTTCTGTTTGAAACTCAGTTTTACTTCATGCCCTTACCCCTTGTTTTTACTGTGCTCTTTGTAGTCATTTCTTGATCTACAGGTCCAGTGGTTTCTCTGTGTTCTTCTCCATCAGTGCTGTGTCGCTCCCCCTGTCTCGCACACTATTTCTGTCTACATGGTTGGCACCATTGTCTTGTCATGCCAAGGTCAAGTCCCTCTGATTTCCTACTTGCACAGTCTGTTTGCATCATTCTCCCTGCTTTCTCTTGCTCTTCTTTCAGCCCCAATGATGTCCCTCCGTTCTGCTACTTGGGGGTAATGAGTGTCCGTGACAGTCTCTGTAGCTGGTTCTCTTGGTTTGTATGTGTAAAAAGGTTATGTGGGGGACACAGCTAAGAGACGCAAGTCAACGATGCATGTGTATGGGACACAGTGTTTGCACATTGTGTGTGGGTGCACTTTGATGCTCGCTCCTAAATGGTTGCAGCATGCCTATTTACATGGATATCTTAAACCCATAAGGCCTATGTTCTTTACACAACATACATGTACACATCTGTGGCATGCTTCATCCATGCCACATGTCAGCACGGGCACGAAGAACTTGAAATAATGCACTTCTCCTCTGGTGATTAGGTGGACTCTTGTACAAATGCCCATTTTCTAAGTGAGATGGGCACCATTGACCTGATAAGAAAAAAACGTATCTTTATCTTTATTTTTTATGCCTCCACACAGAATGACTCGTGGAGTGAACTGTACTCCTTCGCCCTGTTCAAGGCCATGAGCCACATGCTGTGCATTGGTTACGGGCGCCAGGCCCCAGAAAGCATGACTGATATCTGGCTTACAATGTTGAGCATGATAGTGGGCGCTACATGCTACGCCATGTTCATTGGACATGCCACAGCTCTCATCCAGTCACTGGACTCATCCCGCAGACAGTACCAAGAAAAGGTGAGTTTCCTAGTAAAAATGACCTCATGTCACTTGCACCTATCGTGAGTAGTCCTGGGGGCAATTGTATTACATTATAACACGTAGATTCCTTCTGTTCTTATTGATGTCAATGCTTACGTTAATCCTGTAACTTTAGTGTTCAATCCCTCTTTAATGTAAACCAAGGACATTTTTTTTATTATGTTTTCCTGCTTATGACACATTATTGGCTGGCGTGCCTACCACTGATTTCTCTGAAATAAGAAACAGCTGACGCCCTCTTCTATTTCTTACAAGCGTCACTGCATGTCATTGCCTGTGGCACATCTGACAGGAAATGATCCAAGCTTTTGATACCAACCAAGTGAGGGGGAGTGCTTAACAATCTGATCCAGACACAGGATTGATAAAAAATTATTAATGACTGTCTATCTACTGTTGCCTATATAGCCCTAGCAAAAAAAAAAAATATTTAAATGGGGTTTTTTAGGTGCTTAGTGACAAACCAAAAATTGCTTCCAATTTACATCAAAAAACATCTTTATTGTATCATGAGTAAAAACATGATTGTAGTAATTGTAAACGTCCTAAATTCTTTCCTTTTATAATGTACACAGTTATTTAGCCCTAAACTTTCAATGTTTGCCTGGAATGCAAAAAGAGACTTTCATGCTACAGTTGGTTTAAGAATAGAATCTTTGTTCATTTATTAAATTAGGAATTAAACCTCATAATGAGATTTATGCTGCATATGTTTCCTGTGTGTATTTGACGCTTGTCCTTTTTTTCTTTGCAGTACAAGCAAGTTGAGCAGTACATGTCCTTTCATAAGCTGCCTGCCGATTTTCGTCAAAGGCTTCATGACTATTACGAACATCGTTACCAGGGGAAGATGTTTGATGAAGACAGTATCCTTGAAGAGCTAAATGAGCCTTTGAGAGAGGTATGGAGCTGGAGTCCAGAGGGGGGATAACATCAAGTTTAGAGTAGCACTGCCCTTTGTGCATAATCAGATATCATAAAGTTCACGTAGAATTAGGGCAGTTGTATTAATTAAACATTTGCTTTAGAAGGGATGTCTCATTTTTATGGAAATGTTTTAACTAGGGCTGCAACAACTAATCGATTATAATCGATTATTGAAAAAGTTGTCAACTTTTTCAATAATCGATTAATCGGCTTTCGATCAGTTGGCCCTGTTCACAGCTCCACACGCTGTGCGCCGCACCTCCTCCCCACCTCACGCTCGCCGCTGCCAGACCCGCATCCACGCTCCACGCGTCCCACCTCCTCCCCGCCTCACACTCACCGCCCACCCACATGCACGATCGGCACAGGGACGCGGGGATATGTAGTAAGGAGGAGCAGGTGTAGGGTGATGACAGCCATAAACTAGTAGACCCATCACTGGAGCCTTTTTTTAAAGTTTATTTTATTGTTTATCCGATTAACCGATCCCAATAATTGGCTAACTAATCGATTTTGAAAATAATTGTTAGCTGCAGCTCTAGTTTTAACCCTTTTACAGACCATATACATTTTATGGCATGTGAAATTCTAATGACAGAAGTGCAGTGTTGCTGCTGCCAGTCCTTATAGCATGACTATACCTGGCAGCCTAATTATAGAATCACTTATGTTAAACTGAGCATTGGCTTTGGCTACCACAAGCTTTTGGACGTCATATTTAAAATGGACCTGTGAAAAACTTTATTTTAACTTCCTTCTCCCCATCCGCACATACTTACCTTCCGTTTTGCTCCTACGCAGCTCCATTTAGCCAGCAGGAGTGAAGGAAAGTCTAGTGTAGATACATATTTCTAGAATGGAAGCCCACACAGGCCCATGTGACGGCGCTGATTGGTTCATTGATGTCACATGGAGTGGGTCATGTGCTCCTCTATATGTATCAGGTACATCTACCTGGGATGGCGAGTGCATTAAAGCAAACCTGTTGCTTTGCCCTGACTTGTGTAGGTAATTCTAGTTCAGGTGCTGAAGGTAAAATCACTGCTCTGGATCTAGTGTCTGGCACACAAGTTAGGGAATGGTTGTTTAATTTAGTCCCTGTAATCCTGTATTTCACAAACCTTTTCTCACATCCCAGCTTCAGAATGAAATGATTTTATAGATGCAACCTGATCTATAAAATGAGAGTGATTAGTCCATGGTAATTTTTTCATAACAATGGAAAAGAGCCTGAGGACTAAAGTAAGAAATGCTTGGGCACCACTGTGGGCATCCAGTTTGGCACATACACTTGGTTTTCTAGTCATATTACTTGATTATCATCCGTTCCTGGGTTCATTATATATTATGGTGTGAACACTGTCAACTTTTGTTTTGTTGTGTTAAGTTTCAGTTTAGTAATTAAATATTTTATGCTTTTTAACCCCTTCATGACTGAGCTTGTTTTTGGTTTCTGTTCGTAAATGACTGACACACTTTTGACATTTTTGCTGTGTGATTCTTCCACGTCAGTAATATACTTTCTTACAAAGTGCACCCACACATATTATATATTGTTTTTTAGAGGACAGATAGGGCTATATATTTATATCACATATGTGTGTCTAACGCCTCACTTAGGACAAATACAAATTAAAAAAAGAGGAAAAAACGTAAAAAAAAACTTTTTTTCCCAGTTTTGATTTGTAGTATTTTTTTTTAACAAAACCAGCACAGCTAAAAAAAAATGCAATACATACATTCATTTATTTGTCCCTTATTTTTAATTTTTTTACACTTTTCACTATTTTTTTTAATTTATTTACACTTTTCACTTTTTTTATACTGACAAATTTTATTTATTTAATTATATCAGGCAGTCATTGTGAATTAATCTCACTATTACTGCTTGATAAATTAATACATTTTTTTTTATTATCAGGCTGCTTCAAACTTCAGAACAGCCGATAATAAGTTAGTGACACTGATCCTGCAGCAGTTCAGGATTCAGCTGTCAGTGAATGTTTCAGAAAACTTAAACATTCTACTTTCAAGAATAGATACATTATGTGTCTAATACATAACATTTTGTATCTATTCTTGAAAGTCAAAAGATAAAAAAAAAAAAAGCCAGTATAGCTTGAGAGAGATATCTCTCGATCTATACGAGCTGTCAGAATGCCGGCAAAAGCCGACATGTGTGTCTGCTTTGCTGTGACTCTCAGACACCCGATATTAAGGTATCGGGTGTCTGAAAAAGGTTAACCCTTTCAGTAATGGATCTCTAGATAGTTAGACATCTATTACTGAAAGGTAACCGCTGATTCTCAGCGGTTAGCAGCCTTCTAGTGCAGCAAATAACTCGTCACGTACAGTGTACGTGACGAGTCATTTGGTCCCTTTGTGGCTGGACGTACAGTGTACGTCTCCCGTCACGAAGGGGTTAATGTACATTATAATGGGAAAAGTGTAAATAAAATGCATAGCAGTGGTGGTGGACCTGAGGGGGTAGCAAATTGCTGTTTTGCACAGGGTACCATGCCTCGTAAGTTCCTGTGTGTGGTAGCAAGGTGGGAAGCAGGTATGTTAGCACTGTCATGTTAATGTCATCTAGTTTAAGATCCAGCTAGGTAATAGGAATGTGGAATGAGTTCTTAGACAGTTATTGAGTTTGTGCTACTATCTGTCTTGATAGGAATTTTTATCATATGCCAGGTTCTTTTATCACTCAACTGCTCAGTCTGCTTTTGTTAAATCTTACATTGCTTCATTTTAGTTGTGGCTTATAACACAGGTGGTAACAGTTATGTGTTTTTATATGCACTGTACTTTTAAACGGGGTCCAATTTAGTTGTCTTGAATAGGTCTAAGAGGACAACACATCCATTAATGCAATGTGACCAGCATGTTATAGCACATTTATACATTCCTTTAAAATACTTTGGTATTATCGCTTTTAAATCTCACAACAAATCTACTATATAGAGTGTGTAATTTACACTCGCATTCCTAACCGTCCCACCAGACGTTGGTGCAGCTTCTGGGAGCCTGTATATTGGCTTTCCTCTCCAAGAGGTGATCGCCCCATAATAGGACTAGGGGGGATTTCCCAATACCCTGGGAGATGGAAAAATTGTCTGCATGCCCTGGGTGTGCTCTGACATTTCTCTTAGTTTGGGAGAATAGGGGGAAGTGTATTTACACACTGCACTACATAGTCTGTAGCCAGCAAAAGTTATTATGGCTTCTTTCGAGAACTAGCTGTCTCTTAATATTAACAAAGGTAAAAGTGTGGTGAAGTTGTGTATAAACATATTGCTAAGAGCTATTCTGACTGGTATTTGTACAGACAGCATAACAGTTACTTCATGCAATATACTGAACTCAGTAAAGCAGAACTTTTTAGATTAGATATTTTAGTTGAAATCAGTTAGGATTGAACTGAGGGATCAGTGAAAGTAACTGTTAATAAGAACCATTTGCACAGTTCACAAATTTGACCCAGCACATTTCGGACCAATATCTGATACTGTGCAGTCTTCATGTACCAGTTGTTAAGTAGGTTGAATAACCTCTAAATATAAATGGTTGTAAATCATGACCAGCACTCGGCACTGCAGCTGAACATTTGAAGTAAGAAGCAATGGGGGTAACTTAGTCCATGTGCATCGAAAACTTTTTTTCCTTTTTTTTAGAATATAGTGGGAAAGAGCTGTCAGGTTTTTACTATAATCCCGGACTCAACCAAAGCGATTTACCCACATATCCTGTCCTGCCGACAATATTTGTACAAGCAAGAAGTGAGGGTACTCTCCCACAGCAACAACAACAGAAAGTGATGCTTTAGCATAGTAGGTGATTACTAGAACCCCTGTTAGTTTTGTCCTTGTAGATTTTGAATCACTTCCTGTCTTTGAAACCATTGTCAGGAGGACCAGAAATGAGGGTAAATCTCTGGATAGCAGTAAAAACCTGACAGAAATTCTTATCCTTCTCCACTTTATCCAAAACTAGAACAGGATTTTTGTAACTTGTAAAGTCAGTTTCTTGGAGTACATCACAGGACACAGGGAGTTAATTTTGGAAACAATGGGTCTTCTTTAGGGAATGAAAGCCAATCACCAAAGCAGAAATTCAACCCTTATTGGAACTCAAGGCTAAATGTTGATTCAGGCCAGACTGGAGGAAAGATAAGATATGTCCCAAGGATAACTTTTCTGGGATGGAACTTTCTTGCTTCACACCTAGTGTGTTACCAGAGTAAGTTTTTCAGGTAATTTGTACAGCTTGTTGAACCTGGATGCCAGGATGTCCATGTCCAGCATCTCCCACCTGCGACAAAGGGCTTTAAACACCTCTAGCTGAAGAGACCTTTCTCCGATGTCCAGACATTACCGACTGAGGAAGTCAGCCTGCCAATTCTTCATGTCTGGCAGACATCTTGAGCTACAGGATGTTGCTTGGGAGTTGAGATTCCTTCAATGACCAGGTTCCTTGAACTGAGAGGGTTTTCCAGAAACCCCCTTTCCCCGGGCTGGCAACCGAATAGTTGGGCAACTCCTGGTCCTTGAAATCTGATTGCGGGATTGAGAAGATAGGATTTTTTCCCGGAGAAAGGAAGACCCTGGCAGGGTTATGTCCAAGACTAGGCCCAGGTACTCCAAGCAGTGACGAGATTCCAGCATCGACTTCCAACCTCAGAGTTTCAGGACCAATCTGAAGGTCTACAGGGTTTGTATTGTCTGATGAATGTTGGATGATAATGTTCACGCTGACTGCTGTCTGAGGAGAAGGCCATCCAAGTATCCCACAGTGGGGATCCCTTGAGACTGAAGCAGAGCCAAAATATAGGCCAGCACCGTGGTGAAAACCCGTGGTGCAGTGGACAGGCTGAATGGAAGGTGCAACAAATTGTTATTGTTGAGTGTCCCCAGCACAACTCCAGTAGTGCTGGTGAGGAGGATAAATAAGGATGTGCACCAAGGCAAATCGCCTGAGTGAAGGGAGGTAATGACCAGGTAGGTTCCATACAAAACTTTTGGGCCTCCAGTAACCTGTTAACAATCTTCAGATCAATATTGGGTGAGGATTCACCAAAATAGCATTCCCCAGCAAAAGGCATCCAGTCCCTTCTTTCACAGAAGCTCTGCCGACCAGCATTTAAGTAAATGGATCTGTTGCAAGTGAACAGACAGGAGATTTGTCAGGGGGTATCTACAAGGTTATCAATAGTGCAGGACCACAGGGGAAATGTTCTAGTTGTTTTAAAATTGCAGGTTCCGTCAAGATTGACCCAGTGTCCCTAGCAACGGATTTATACCATACAGATAAGGTTTGACACACGGCCATGGTGGCAACAACATGTTGCATAGCCGTGCATGCAAGGCCAAATATAGCTTTAAAAAGGGCTTATACCTTCTTGTCCACATAGTCCTGGAATAGTCCTAGATGAACATCTAGAGAGACCTTTAAGGTCTTGTTCAAGCAAGAGATGTCTGGGCCTATGATAGAAACAGCCCATTTTTGTTTACGAAAACCCTCTTCGATAGGGTATTACCATGCAAACCATTTGGGAGGAGTAAGCAATTTTTCATGGTGATCCTAGTTACCATACACCAGAGGAAAGGTTTTAGCAAGTTTGATCTTTTAAAAAACAAAAACAGCCCCAGACTAGTGATCTTTGGCATGCCAACATAGTTGTCTATAACTGTAGACAAGTACAAAATGCATCCCCAAGGACAGAAATAGTGTCTTTGAGCTTAGGAGAGATGTTAGTAGTCCACAGAACTGGGAACAGCTCCTTCATCTTCCCTAGGGAGTGCAAAGGCAGTCAGAGGGGGGTTCTTAGGGAGAAGGTGAGGAAGGTCAGACATTTTCCCCATATAGTCTTTACTGAAGCCAACCCCTCTCTAGATACCAAAGTGGAGGAGGGCACCCTTGAGGGTGGATAGCAATGGGGGAAAAAGAGGAGAGCATAGAAAGTGTCACCTTCCCCAGAACCATTGTCAGGCTGTGTAGCCACAGAAGCCACTGCCTATATATCTCCCACGTCTATGATGCTAACAGTAAGCCACAAAGGTACTCACAAACTGGAGGTTAGAGGGTGTACTGTGTCCAGACACTTGCAGGCAGAATGGTGCCCCAGTGCATAAGGTGCAGAGTTTTTCTCCCTGTGTTATGATTCACAGCATGTGGGCATAGAAAGCATAGACATAGGTATAGGCATAGACACGGCCCCTAACCCACCAGGGAGATCGAAAAATGTCACCAATTTTAAAGAGTCGGCTATCAGAACTGTCTAATGCTGCGAGACAGAGTTGTAGCAGTGCCTCATATTAGCCCCACGGGGACTGGAGCAAAAAACACTGGGCACCTGTGACCTTTGGCTTACTTTATCATACATGCAGGCTCACCCAGAGGGGTGCAGTTACCATTTCGAGGCACATGCTAGCAAAATCCCATCCAATCGTTTGCTGGATGCACCCCCCCAAAGGAGGCCTTCAGGGACAGGGCTCCAGTAGCAGGTGGACAATGGCCCTGAACCTGTATAGCACCCTGCAGCAACGCTATACACTGCACTTGGTGTCAAGGCCACTGACCCACGCAGGATCTAGTGCCCTGAGCACATTACAGGCCAGCCCCACATCTTTTTCACTGGAGTTCATGTATAGTCTGCCAAGGCTCAGCAGAGAAGAAAACCAAGTCAAATAGCTGAGAAGTGCTGGTGAGAGTCTTGAAGCAGAAACAAATTCATAAAAAGATGTGCATCTCTCAGTGCAGAGAGAAGATTTCCTTCACCAACGAGAACACTAGCAAGAAAACTAGGCCGGATCGGAGTGGGAGGGGCTATACAGGGCTGTCCTTGCAGCTTTGATTTGCCAGTGTCCAATGACCTGAAAGTAGCTGTATAACCCATTAGTTCCAGAATTAACTTCCTATTTCCTGTAATGTATGATTAAGAAAAAGGTTTTTGATGTAACCTACAGTTTAAACCACTTTGCCCCTTCCACAGATTGTGTTTAGTTTACTTATACACATTTATCTCAATACAAAGGGTGTATTTCACTTTTCTCTGTGTTACACCCATGTTGTGTTTAGGAAATAGTGAACTTCAACTGCCGCAAGCTGGTAGCATCAATGCCACTCTTTGCCAATGCTGATCCCTGCTTCGTTACGGCAATGCTGACCAAACTAAAATTTGAGGTGTTCCAGCCCACGGATTACATCATTCGGGAGGGAACCATCGGCAAGAAGATGTACTTCATCCAGCATGGTGTTGTCAGCGTACTTACCAAGGGCAACAAGGAGGTGAAGCTCTCGGATGGCTCCTACTTTGGAGGTGAGTTCATATTTTTGATTGCACACAAGTAACGTGTGGAAAGGGAAAGGTTTGGTGCCGTCTTAAATGTTTAAGTATATGTAGTAAAACTCCCATGACAGCACTAGTAAAGGAATTCTGATTTGTTTTGTGTATCACCTAAAACTACTGCCTTTTGGCTTAAAAGATCACTAAATAGAAATGACGTCATCTTCATAAGTCGGTTTATGTAGGAGTATTATATGAAGGGGATAAATATGTATTAGTCTTAGGAGATTATGAGAACAGAAGATATTGAAAATTAAGGTGGTATAGTGGTAAGCAGTGTTTTGAAATGCACAAGTGGCCCCTTGTATAGGTATCCCATAGCTGTACGCTGTCGTTTAGCCTTTTGCTGAAGATGACGGCATAAAATAATACATTTACATATACTTGTTGTTTTCACGCCTATGGAAACTATAATATTCAGTGTTCTGAATTGTATTAGTAGCTATTTCAATGTCTCCATAACGTTTTCATTTTAGGTTTAGTGTACCTTAAGGCTTTTATCATACTACACTGAAATTCATTTACTAAGCTTGGCAGTGAGCAAACCGCTTACAAATGTAATCGCTTAAATCCTGCTTTACAAGTGCAAGCTTATATATATATATATATATATATATGAATAACACAACATGGTTATAGTTAATGCTCCATCACTACATAGTAATTTCACCCAAACCTCTTTGTGAGAAATGTAACTCCAGCCAAACGTTTTCTTTCAGTTTGCTGTCTGTGTACCTGTAGGGGGGATCTAACCTATTTGTCTTGTAGACAACTGTCACTGGGAGGAAAAGTGAATGGGATACAAATATTACAGTTAAGGGAACAAGAGGGGATATCTCCCAGTTAGGACAATTGTTATGGTGACAACTGTGAAGGTTGGATTTTCATTTACTTTCTGTTGTGCCTTTGGGGACTGGAAGTTCAAGGAAATTTTGATGTGAATACAGATGGCATACACATATGACAGCAGTATTTACTCTTCCCCACTCTAACCAAAACTTTGGCTGGAAGTTATACTTTATATCTGAGATTGTGCCTTTACACTCTGCTACCTACTAGCTTCTCAGAACTCTTAGGAATGTCAAGAGATTTCCCTTTGGGATATTCCAACTCCACCATAATATACTGTACTCCATTATGTTTAGTGCAATACTTAGTAATATGGTCACCCACTCCTACTGCATTCTGAATGGTAACATATGAATAAATCAGCATAACTGTGCTTTGAGATAGAGGGCAGGCCTAGGATCCCAGCAAGTTTCCAACCCCCCAAAAAAACACTTTGACTGGACTTAAAATTTCCCCAAGCCTTTGAATACCAAGGACAAATATTCCATGCAATCCAGGGGTTCCGAAAAGCTCATCACTGTTTTAGGTTTTCTAAGCAATTCACTTTGATCATTGCAGAAGTCATTTAAGTGGCAAACCCCTTTTCCTGTAGTTTATCTTTCCCTTATTCTGCATCTTGTCTCTGGCACGGTCTGGGTATAGTCCCACAAGGCTCAGAGGAGTTCAATTGATCCGGAGAAGTGCAAAAAAAGAGAGCCACAGTGGTGATAATATAGCTAAAGCAAGTTTGTGGAAAATAAAAAAGAAAGTGGTTTGCTTCTCTCAGCAGAGAGAACACTTCCATCAGCCAAAGACACTAGCAACAAACCTGAGTCTTGCTGGGAGTATTATATTGGGACTGTCCTGAAGGTGGTAGCCCCATATACAGTAATCCATGGTCTAGACTTTGGACCTGTGTCCTGTACTATACGATTAAGAAATATAGCTTATCATACATAATTAAAAGCTATAAGTGAAAGCAAGGGTTTGAAAAAAGGATGCCAATACTAAATTGAACTTGATCATATTCATGTTTATGGTATGTCTGATCAAAGAAAATGTGGAAATGATAGTTACTGAAGCAAATGCTTATACATTTACAATCTATAGAAATACTGTAAGGACCCAGCTAGAATGTTCCGCCACTGTGGAAAGGCCGCATGTTTTGAGTACTGTGCATTCTACAGTTCATGTTAGCCGTCCCTTGGGGAGGCAATGTTTGATGCGGTTTGAGGCAGCCAAGAGTGCAGCCTAACCCTTTTGCTGCTAGGCCCTGTATTCCACTTTTGACCTCAGCTGGCCAGACCATTTTTCACCTTTTTGTTCAATTTTCAACTGCAGCTTTCAGAGTTTGTAAAAGACACCCCAAACCATACACTTTCTAAAAGCACAGGACCGGTAAAATAAAAAAATTGTACTTATAGTTTTGTAGATCCTGTGACAGTTGTGCAAATGTTTGTGGGGATGGCTTTATTTCTTTTTTTTAACTATTATTTCATTTTTTTTTTCTACATTACTGTCAGGAGCTATGGGGAAATATCGGGGGAGTCTAAACAGACCCCCAATATTTCCCTTTTGAAAATAGACAACGGTTAGAGGATACATAGTCCTCAATCTCTTTTTCTGCAGCCCCAGCACTCAATGAACAGGAAGTACAAAGGCTTCCTGTACATTCACAAACTGAGGTAATAGTAAGTGATTACTATGTACCCAGTCATGAATGAACAGGAAGTGATGTATAGCACTTCCTGTTCATGCATAACTTGGGGTATTGTAAATAACTGTGATAAGTGATTTCTAACATCTGAGTGATCAGTACTGATGACTCCGGTGTTTGTTCAGTGAGGGGAAAGATCAGCAAATATTTGACTTTATGTTCTTTTGTGTGTATGTAGATCAATGAAGTTGTAATCACATGGGGATCTTGAAAGTTCACCCTTAAAAGCTAGTACATCTTTTCTTTGTAGACATAATGTAGATAGATATCTAGATATGGTGTTGGTTAATTCTCTGGAACGTGGCCTTCTGTGGATTTGGGCATTTTTAAATTCATTTTAACATTATAACCTTTTGTAGAGTCTGAGCACCACTTTTTACATTTGATCATTTGGATCCCCCACCTGAACTGCTTTGGCTATACCTTCTGTTCATACTGCATGGTACCAACCAGGAACTTTGATAAAAATAGTTCTGTCTGTGTGACTGCTCCTCGTGCCCATTCAATCCAATCATAGTAATTTGAACTGCAGAGTCCAGAGTCAATGCCCTGAAGGTGCACTACTTTCACCAGATTGTTATGAAGACTATAGAATACACCTTGTAGTCTTTTTGTGTATGTGGACTAAATGCATATTAATTTACCAGGCACTTATAATAACTTCTTAATAATTTTTTCATTAACAGAGATCTGCCTGCTGACACGGGGGCGACGGACTGCCAGTGTCCGCGCCGACACATACTGCCGTCTCTACTCACTCTCTGTGGATAATTTCAATGAGGTGTTGGAGGAATACCCAATGATGCGGCGTGCATTTGAGACGGTTGCCATAGACAGACTGGATAGAATAGGTAAGAAGCATATTAACAACAGACTAATTATTAAAGAGACACTGTCGCTACACCTTGCCTAATTAGGGTCAGGGAAGCCTCACATGATCTGCATTGATCTGGCTGCCACCTGCAGATCGTGTGGCTTTCCTAGCCACTGCCATAACCTTGGCTGATGTTAGAACCAGAGAGGGGGAGCAGGTTTGTGTCTCTGTCTGGAATGCAGAGCTGACACTTCTCCCAACACTCCTAGAGATGAAAAAGAAACAGAAGGTTTGTTTTTAGCTTAAAGGGGGTGCAAAAGTGCAAACAAATGCAGCATGACGTACACTTTTGTGAGTACATTACTTTTAGATGTTCATCTTTCATCTTAGTCATTGTGTAGGGACAATGTCTCTTTAAGGCCATATGCATATTTGTCTTTATATGACTAACCAATAGATTTCGTATATGGTTTTATGCTTTCATCTTGTAATGGCTAAAAGTGTTAGAGATATGTAAGGCAGCTAGAACCCTTTGGTGGTGGTGTGAAGTTTAGTGGATCACATGTAGTCCTATTGTGGTGGCGTTTGAATTTGCTGTCTTGAAGGGACTTTCCTTTGCTTGCATTTTCTGATGTTCCTATCCTGACCAAAATGAAAATTTTAAAGTGTATTTCCACTTTTGCAGTTAAATTTGAGAAAACACCACTATGTGTTTGTGTTCCCATTCACACATAATACCCCAAAATAATTTTTTAAAATATATATTCTTACCCTTTACCTGTTTCTTTGGTGAAGGCCTTTGTGCAGATTCCAGGCTACTCTTTTCAGTTTGAAAGTGAAACTAGAGGGCAAATGTTATTTTTTTTTTTTTATTATGCTATGCGATTGGGAACATGTAACAAAAAAAAATTCGGTGTTCTCCCAATTTGGCTGCAAAAGTGTAAACATTGTTTAAATTCACACATATGCAGAAAAGTGCCAGCAAAGAGGGTGTCAACTTTCAATAAGGGGTTATTTGTAATGTCCTAGCATTGCTATTGTATATTTTTGATAACAGGAAGGGAAACAGGATTTTTTTTTTCAAAATGTTTAGTCTTTTTTTCTTCATGTAGTAAATACCACACAAAGAAAACTGTTTGTCTCAAATCTCTTGGAACACTCCCCTCATCCAGGTGGCAGCCAGATCAGTTTGGGGCATATTATTCAAACAGACCTGTTTGGTGTCCTCTAGAACGAGATGATCCGTGTCTTCTCTATCATTAGTCACCATTTTCTTTGGGAAACTTTTTGATGTAAAAACCTCTTTAGTTCAATGAAGGCTCCTAATTAAAGTATGCATATAACAGATTTATATTGTAATTGTGACCTCTCTCTTTAATTGTTTGTACCTCCTTGTCCACCGGGACCGAGACTCCTGGCTGCTGGGGTCCATAGTTTCTATTTGGCATCAATTGGTTTTAAGCGGTTTTTCAAATAGTTGTGTATGTTATTTAAGGGATGTTGGTATCGGGTTTCAAAGAATTAAGGACATAACTTTTTCTCTAATTGTCAAACTATCTCAGCACTGAAAACCTAAAAAATGGCCTGGGCAGGTACAGGGTGCAACATGCCGTTACTGAGGTGGTTAACACATTTATACTTATTGTTAAAATTGGAAAGGTAATAATTGCCTCTACACATACAGTGTGTGTGTACACACACACACACACACTTCTAGAACTAACTATAGTCTATAGTCTAAATAGCATTGTAATTGGTATAGGGGCACCCTTGTTGGAAGGGTCAACTGAAGTACATAAAGTTAAAATAAATGTGTTCTAACCCACAGGGAAGAAGAATTCCATCCTCATGCACAAGGTTCAACATGACTTGAACTCAGGTGTCTTCAACAACCAGGAGAATGAAATAATACAAGAGATTGTCAAGTATGATCGGGAGATGGTGCAGCAAGCTGAGCTCCATCAACACCAACTAAGCGGTGGGATGTATGCCACATGCAATCCTCCCTCTCCTCAACCCCAGGTCCCATCTGCCATAGCAACTTTGCAGCAAGCTGTGGCCATGAGCTTTTGTCCCCCAATGGCCAGCCCACTAGTGGGTTCCCCGCGTATAATGAGGCGACTCCAATATGCCCAAGGAGGGCCTGGAGCTTTTTCTATATCCCCAGCTCTTTTCCAGCCATCCCTGCAGCTCTTGCAGCATCATCCACCCCCCCAGCAGGTTCCACGTAGGCCATCCACTGCTGTGCCCAGTCCCCCCAACCAATCACCACGAGTGTCTCAGAACTTTGCCTACCCAGCCAGGCCTCGGGCAGGCTCACAACTTTCTCTTACCCAATCTGGGGGTTCTGGTTCCCCACAACGTCTGTCTGTCCACAAGAGCACTCATTCTCTGCACTCTGGCACACTCACGCGTGAGTCTCGACCCCTTTCAGCCTCACAGCCCTCACTGCCTCAGGGGGCGTCACAGCTCCGCAGTCCACCAGCTCCTCCTGCTACAACTGGCAGCTTAACCTCTCCGGTGGCCAAAGGAGGTTTGGGACCACAGGCTGGTCCAAGAGTACCTGCCCCTGCAAGACTTGCGCTCTCCCATCAGTTGTCCTCTTCTGGTACAGTTGGTGGTGTCTCGGACTCTGCAGTAGGGACATCGTTAGGAGGCAGGAAAGATTCTGTGGTTAGTGCCCCAGATTCTGACCCTGTTAGGGGACGGCTGTCTGCAAACTTGTGACTGATGGGTGTACACGTTCCCTCACTCAAATGGGTAGGTAATGGATGGTGCACAGTTGTTATTAAGATAGAAAATATAATGTGCCCTCCTAGCCATCTCTGTGCCACTTTATTAATAACTCTACTTGTTTAAAGATTAGTAGCCATACCTTTCCTCTGGAGTGGGGGTATTAATATGTGGAAGTTACAAGAGAACTAGCAGTTAGATCAGTAAATGCCACTTCAGAAAGCAATCCGCCACATAACTCCTCCAGTGTTTACAAAAGTAGGAAAATGCAGCACTGTTCAATGTCACAGATCTACCTAGAGCTCTGCATTGAAATGAAGAAGAGTGCAAATCTTCTGAGGGTCTAAGGCAGCTGGTCTGCTGTCAGAAGGAAAGAGACTGCTGGTATTTACTACTGAGTTTTTTTTTAGTTATTTAAATTATATATATATATATACACACATATCAAAAACTCTTTCGCTGGTAGATCCTCACTCTGAATTCGCAAATTGAAAAAGCTACAACGAATATTACTTATGCCCAAAGCAAGCCAATTTCGTTATGCAAACTGCAGGCAGTTTGACCTAGCTATTGGTCCTTTCCAGGACTTTAACTACCCAGTGACAGTGTCACCTATGGATGTCATGATAAGCACCTATATTTATATAACCATGCATACATTTATTTTAGTTTGTAATCATGTTTTATTTAGGAGGAGGTAAATTTTTTTGTGTTATGTCACCATTTGTGCCCCCATTTCCTTTCAGTGAGCAAATCACCAACTGAATATAGGGATTCAAATTAGGCACTGCAAGTCCCAGTGACACACTACATACTATTAATTGTATTGACAGCAGTAACACTGCATGTGGCTGTTGTAAAAAATAAGTGTATCCTTACAGCAATAATGCAGCCACCTTCAAGAGTTGAATGCCAATGATTAACTGTACAAAGGGTTAAACAGTACAATAAATGTGGCTGCAACCTTCGACACTTACAAAAAAAACAATTAGTCAAACTGCAAGAGACAGTTAGATAAACAGCCATAAAAGGCACTGCTAGCCAGTAATACCAAGCATGTAATGGAATTGCAGCTGCTTCTAATCACTCCTGGTTAAACTGTGGTGCCAAGTAGCCTTCCTGCTCCCCAGGGCACTCCAGTGACCATGGATTTGCCCAATCTCTCACACCAAAGGACCTCTGTGTGTTTTATTTATAAATCATGTATATTTTTTCTTCTGGTATTTCACTGCTGTTGTCCATTCCATGGATTGTATTTTAGAAAGCCATATTGTGTATATCACAGCTGTATATTGAGATATATATATATATATATATACATGTATATACACAAGCCTGTATAATCTGTACACTATATACATCCTGTATAGCAGGATTGGGGTTGAGTGTCTATCCAGTGTAGATGTAGATTCTTAAAAGCCACAAGTCAGGAATTTTCACTTACAGCGATGGAGGAATGCTGCGGCCAAGCACATTTTGGGTTTATTCACCCCTGCTGATTTATCTGTGGTGTGGCCTTAAGTAAGTGAATACATTCAATGACTGGAAATTGAATTGTTTCTTCTAAACAATATACCTGGCCTTACTGTTCCAGTTAGAATTCAGAATGGACAAGGCAGTGTTGTTTATGGTCACAAAAAGCTATGATCTCTTAACAACCCTTGTATTTTCGTTTGTTCTTCATGGAGCTGCACCATTGGTAAACCTTGCACTGGGAACAAGCCCATAGGCACTGGAGTGCTTCTTTGATACAAAATGCCTAGAAAGGGGCAGTCCCATTCAGATTCATTTCTCGTAAAGTAATTAAGCTTTATAGGCAATAAGTACTCCCTGTTGTCCTCTGGACTGTGGCTTTAATAGTGATGGAACACAGCCGTTACCATTGTGGCAATTTGTGTCAACGTTGGAAAACAAAAAGTACTACAACATTCCATTTTGCCTCTAAATTATGCATTATTTTCAAAAGCATGTCATTCTTGTGACAAAAACCAGAGGAGGGTAATATGCTGTGGGTTTTAAATGGGACTGCCCCTTCAGGATCATAAATATGATGCCGTTTTACTAATCCATTCACGGGGAGAATCCCAGACCTAAGAAGTTGCCCCTCTGCTCCATCTGTGGCTGGCAGTGTCACTGATGAATGTATTTTGGAGACAAGGGGGGCCTGAGACAAGAGTGCAGGGTCTTGTGTCTCTGCAGAAGCTGCACTTTACTAAGCAAATGATTCCAGCTTCTCTGTGTGTGCAATAAACAGATACTTCTGAACTGTGTGTTGTTTTGACTGGTTAACTAGGTGACTATCTGTAGGGGGATATGGACATCTTTATACCTCACACCACATCGCTAATGTACTGATGGCCAGACCAAAGTTACTCAGAGGACATGCTTGAGAATAATGACCTCTGCGGGATGAGATGCATGGATTACAAAGCTCTGCACATCACGAGGAAGACTAGCCAGCATACCGCGTCCTATGTCAATTAAATGAGGCTCAAATAACAAACAGATAAAACTGTAAACATGTTGAAAGCCTCTTACTATCCTTGCAGGTCATTTGTTAAAGATACCTTTTATGTGGCAAAATGAAAAACGTTCCATTTCTGCTTTGTGCATAAGCAGCTGAGCCACTTGTGCACAGTCTGGGGTTTGGATGTAAGCAGCTAGCACAGGCTCCCTCATGCCATTACTATTAATAGTGACAACACTACACCCTATGAGGGAGCCACTGCCCATCACTGGAAATGAGCGGTGTAGAAATCACTCCTTAGCCCCAAATCATATATAGTATTTGAGGTTGAATAAAGACATTAGTCCATCAAGTCCAACCTATTAGGATTATTATATCTGAGCATTTTGTCATGCGTTTCTCATCTCAAAGCTTGACAACGCTCAGCATGAAGAATCTAATTGTTTTTACTGGTGCACATTCATACCTGAGCGTTGTTGCTTGCAGCTTGAAAAATAATGTGCTTTATTTTAGGCAGAATTTAGTGTTTTTGGCCCCAAAGCGTTTAACGGGAAATGAAAATGCACCTAACATCTGCTGCCTCCTTAGTAACTAGAAAACAAAATGTGCAAGTCTGACAACCACTTTAAAATTGCCTTAAAATGCTCATGCTTAAGGTGCCCATACACTGCACGATTCTCGTATGAGAATTGCGGGAAATCCCGCGATCGTACAGTGTATGGAAGGCGTGTGACCGTTTCTACTGTTAGGTCTCACGTCTTCCGTCGAACCAGCATGCTAGAGAGTCAGATTTGTGATTCACAAACCACATGGCCCACTATCTTTAGGAGGATGACTCCAATCCAGGTAAGCAATAAAGGGTGTTGTTACCTGTATAGGTCACCAAATACAAGGAGTGAAATGTAATTTTAGTTTTGAACAATTTTAGAATGTGGTATGTTTGTCTCCCATCTTTAATAACCTCAACACTATATTTTCTTCTTTTATTTAATGTCTTTTTTCTTTAAAAATATTTTTTTTTAAATTATAATTTTTTTAACCACTTCAAGCGGGTGGCCGTATTTATACGGCTGGCCCCTTGAAGCGGTTATACCAAGAATACAGCTGCTGCTGCCGCCATTGTAAACAGCTGGCGATTGCTGTTAAGATACAAACGATCCGGCATTTATACAGCCGCTAGATCGTTTGTACCGAGTGGTGGAGTGTGGCTACACCAGACGGGCCCGGGACCAGCAGGTCTCCCTGCATTGATCAGATAGAGATCAGCAAGCTTCTAGCCGCTCATCTCACCTCCAATCACTGGACCCGGAAGTGCTGTGTATTACATGATTTCCGGTGTCACTGTGCACATTCTCTGGCCAGAAAAAGAAGCTGGTGAAGCCGATCTGTGCTTACTCAGCTTCTTTGGGGTGCCTAGGTAACAGTAGGGGTCTGAAAGACCCCTGATGTCTCCATAAAGAGGACCTGTCACATCCAATTTGCTATTACATTAGTGGGCTTGTTAGCCTCCTATCTGATAGCAATAAAGTTAAGTGTAATAAACTTAAAGTGGCAAACTTTCTTTTTTTTTAAAAAGCAATATTTCTAGGGCCATCAATCACTGATAACACTAAACAGATGAGCAGAAAAAGCTTTTAAAGCGTCGCCTATGGGAAATATTTGGGTATTGTAGTTTTTTTGCAGTTTCACGGACATACACAATTTTAAGGCTTGATATGTTTGGTGTCCAATTATCCAATGTGACCCCTTCCTTCATATTTTACCATAAAATTGGGTATTATATTCTGTTTCTGTGCAATATATTTAATTTCAGTGTATTTTATCCTAAAAATACTAGTTTGATAAACATTTGCGCAAATACTGTGTGACATAAAAACTAGCATTTTGTTTTATTCTACAGGGCCTCTGCTTTCAGATACTGTGTAATTGTTGGGGGTGTTATGCTGTTTTCGAGCCATAAATTTAGATTTTATCATGTGTGTGCAAATAGTGAGAAATTATGCCAGATAGCAAGTGGTTAAACTAGGGATTAGCCCATCACTGGTTGTTCACAAACTGACCGATCATGACGGGATAATCTCGTCATCGGTCGGGAAGGAGTTAATATGCCAAGTGTTATTAATTAAGGGGGGGAAAAAGTCCAAACTTAAAAATGTTATTTAAAAAAAGTTTTATTTTTACATTGGCTTATCAAACTAAAAAAAACGAAAACAATGATGGTTCCTGAATAAAGGGGAATCTGATAAATACGGACGTAGCTTCCACAGGAAGGATAGACGGAAATGCATTGCTGAGAAAAGATGGACAGTAACATCCACTCAGAATAACAGTGCAATATTACAGCAAGGACTGTGCATCCAGCAGTGTGATTAGCTGAAGAAATATGTAGAGTCCATGACATTATGCAGCGTAAATGTACCTACAAGGGGAGAAAATGGGATAAGTATTCCAGAACAATGGCATTTAGACAACACAGGACACAAAAAAGGACAGTGCTACTTAACCATCCTTACCGGTCGCTGGTATAAGGTTGAAGAGACTCTTCAACTTCTGCTGTTCTAGGGATGAACACTGTGAACTGAACAGCACAACAGTCAGACAGTACAGTACGTTTGCATTTACATCTTTGCCAATCTGCTCTTTTAACAACCTTTTACTTTCTGTAAATTCGGAGTGTTGGGTCCCTCTCTGTGCTGGCTCCAGTGGCTGCTCCTCCCATGTCTGCAATGTGTGAGGTCTCTTCCTAGTCTAACATCTGTGAGAGTACTGTCTGTGCATACAACTGATCTAGTAAACAAAGGCTGAACGAGACACATTATACAACCCATTCAGATGGAGCTGTCATTGCCAAAGTATAAACTCCTGCATAATGATGGCCCTAACTATTACCATCAGATGTGAGCATCTTATAGTGCCTGGAGAGCACCACTAAAGGCACATAGAGATAGCAGACTAAGCAGAGAGCATGACCATATACTGAAGGCACCTAGGCTGGGTGAGAGCAGCCATTGGAACCAACACATTAATGAGGCCGACACTGCCAGTAATGCCAGAGCCCTGGAAATTTTTGATCACTTATAGAAAGCAAGAGATCGTTTTAAAGAACAAATTGGCAAACGATGTGAGTACACCTTATACACTAATACGGCAAGTGCTTAAAAGAAAATGTTATGTCCTGTAACAGGGTCTCTATGCCAGAGATGTCTGCTGATTTTTTTTCCACTGCGCTACTAAAAAATCAACTCTCCGAAAAAAAAGAAAGAATCGGACTCTTAAAATGGCTAATTGACATTCAGAACCCACTGAAGCAGGACTGGAAGTGGGAATGATTGCCTGGTACAAGCCCCAAACTTTTAGGAGAAGCGGTTTTTCTTCCAGACAGTGCATTAAAAAACAACATTGATAAAGAGTAGGGCTGGTAATGATTAAAATTTTTGTGTTCGATTAATCGAATTTTTTTTTTAATTGATTAATTTCGATTAATTCTAACGCACATACAGATCTAACTACATTGGCCTATACACATACAGCACAGCAATGAAGTAATAAAATGAACTAGGATCACACTAATCCAGCACGTTATTAATCTCACGTGCCCCACTCACGTGCCCCACTCACAGAATAATAACGTGCTGGATTAGTGTGATCCTAGTTCATTTTATTACTTCATTGCTGTGCTGTATGTGTATAGGCCAATGCCTTGGCTGGCGCTCGCGCAGAGAGTTTGTAAAAAAAATTAATCGATCAAAAAAATTTTAATCGATCAAAAAGATTAACGATTAATCGAGAAATTAATCGTTAATTTGCACAGCCCTAATAAAGAGTATTTTACTTTATAAGCCGGTTTAGACTTCTCTGTCCTCCTTTAGCACTGCATTTCAGCGGAGGAGCTAATACGCTGTGACAGCTCCAGTAGTGTGGGTTGTATCGCACACTGTCAAAGCTGTCACCGTTTACCTTTTTGGAAATAAAATTTACAATGTATACAGTGTACAATGTGTGCACTCCATTCATGTCCCCACAGCGACCTCCGGTGGCATACAGTGCCCTGCGATAACATGCAGCATGTGTGCATTTTATTACAGAATACCGCCCACTGTGTTGTAGTGTGAATGGCATCGATCTGGTATGTGAACGGGCTCTTAGAGACACAGTTTGATACAACCTAGGTATACACTGCCACCTATAGGAGAAATGGACACTAGCCCAAACTGGGTTGCTTAATAGCTTCAAGCCGTGTCTCTCAATGGATTCTATTTTTGTACTCGCCATAAAATTCTCATCTCTTTGACCAGTGAGGAACACAGCTTCAGGATAATAAGTAACACAATTTCATTTAGGGTTATGCTGCCCCCTACAGGGGAAATGACC